CTCGTAGGACAACAGGTACTGAACTGCAGGGGATCATCCCCAGCTCTGTGATCACGAGGTCCACGAGCTCTGGGGGAGTCACGTCATAGACCAGGTTCAATAACCGCAGCGACTTGTGGTCCTGCCAGTTAGCTAGTGCCACATGTTCTCCTCGCTCACACAGCAGGTCGTCAGGGTCATCTGCAATGGAGGTGTACCCGTTTATGTCCTTATAGAAAATACGTTGCAGTTCAACCTCCCCTCTCCCAGATCTCAGTCCCTGGAACCTTGTTTTCTACCCTCCTGAGCCTCCTTACCTAGCTCATTAGAGACAAAGGCATCAGTCTGCACACGCTCACAAAACTTGTATGTCTCACAGCAGACCAGCACTGGCACATTATGGGCTCGTGCCACCAGAGCCAGCTGTGCTGTCCCTACCCGTGACATCACGGACCCATTGGCCAGGAGTGCATGAGCTCCCAATAGCACCTTAGAAACCTATTTTGGAGGGGGGGAGAGAGGTGAGAATGTCACGTGTGATCAATGCAGAATCAGGTCCCCCACTCCTGCCCAGGACAGCAATACTAAGACAATGACTAACAAACCTTAATGAGGGCTCTTGGAAAATACCTGACCCACCTCCCACAGAAAATGAGACTCTGAAGTTACTTTTTGTCCTGTTCCTTCTTGGTGGTTGCTAGTTTAATATAATGTTCTTCAGTAACTAGACTGTTACAACACACTATAGTGTCTTCCTTATTAAATATAAGCAGAGCTATCCAATTCTAATATTTCTAAATAATTGTAACCCTTGGGAGGTGGGACCCCAAAAGGGTTGACTCCAACTTTGGGGTCCCTTTTCTCTGCCCTCACCTCTGGGAGCACATAGGAGGCCGCAGGAATCAGCACGTAGGAGGCAGGGACTCCAGCACGGATCAGAGAGCGTAGCATATGCTTTCCCTCCAGCCGTGGCCGGCTGTCCACCACTACTACCCGAAATCGCCGGCCCTCCATCCAAGCCTCCTGAAGAATCCGTGACACCAGAGATGAGCTGGGGTGAATGGACAGGATGATTTAGTTATAATGTCACTGGCTGATGGTCAGCTCATTCTAAAGGGCACCACCCTTCCTTTGCCCCCCCACCCCCTCTCCAATTTTCTCAGTCATAGTGACTGAACCATACCATCCATATACCAGGATCACATCTCCATCACTGATCTTCTTATAAGCAGAGCGTGAGATTGCCCGAGCTGCAAGCACAATCTTCTCTTGCACATACCGATCAATTGCTGCTCGAAGTTCTGACTTGGCCTAAATGGAGTGAGATGCTTAGGGAACAAGAAATGAACACATTTCTTCCTGATGACCATGCCAGGTGCTTGAACATGTATATAATGATGGGCTCAAGGAGGACGAGGTTGCCTGAAGGGGACCCAAAGATGGCACAATTCAAACAGCCCAACCACTTCCTCCACCCCTGACTCGGGCAAAATGGCCACGCTGTCCCTCCTAAGAGTCCTGAATATGTTTCTCAGCTCCACCCAGGTGCATGCCTTGCTCATTTCTCATACTCATCACCTCCTCTTCCCGCTTGGAGCTGCTCACACCAGTGATCTCCTTGTTAAGGAACTTGATGGCGTTGTACATACTTGCCGACAGGGGGCGGCACTGATTCAGGAAGCTAAAAACAAGAACACCTTGTATTTGTGCGACTCTTCAAAATTTACAAAGCTGCCACGTTTAAAAAATAAATTAAGAAGACAGAGAACAGAAAGATGAAAAAGACATAGAAGAGCAAGAGAAAGGGTACAAGAAAAGGACTAGGTGAGCTGGAAGTGGGCTTGTAGTGGTTGCCCTTACCTGAAATAGGGCTTTAGTTTATTGACTAGATCCCTTGATAGCTCTTCATTTGGTGGTGTTGTGTAATCCTGAATCACCTGTAGTGTACACAAGCTGATCAACAAAATGCCCCCTAATAAAGGTCTCTGAAAGGGGGATAGGGGAAGCTTCATGGAAGGAAGTGTTCTGAGGGTGAGAGAAGCTGGGTCGTGTTGGGGAAGGTGGGGCTGGGACAGGACGGGCATACCTGCTGCAAGGCACGAAGCAGGGCAATACACCGGGCATTGGAGCCACTGACCAGGCCCTGGGAATACTGCAGGCCGAGTCGCACCATGGCTGGGTGGATCACAGAGGATGGGATGCTGATGGGATGGCGGTGTCACACACTGTGCAAGGGAGCTTGAGCACTTACTGCCCACCTGCCCCTAACGAAAAGGAACTTCCTTCACCAGCACAAACACCCCTATCTCCACTGCAGCTCTGCCCTGTGTGCATGCATCTGCCCACAGACCTAATCTCAAATGTCCAGTCCCTTTCAATACGTAACACTGAAACCCCTCAGACGTAAGATCCTACCTCATACTCTGGGTCAGAGAGTTCTGTCTGCTGTACTGGGGTAGGTGGGAGAAGAGGCTGACTTTGGATCCATAATCTTTTCGTGTAGGAACCTTGGTAAAATAAGGGAATAAAACCAATGGCCTAAAGGGTTTAAAGCTTAGGTGACGAAGCTAGAAAGGAAGTAAACAGTGCAACTACTCTGTCCCGAGTACCCATCATCCAGGGTCTCATTTTGTCCCAAGCACTTTTCCTCCCTCCGTCCCATCTCCCTGGGCTCTTCCCAGCCACCCACTGGTTCCTACCTGCTGTCGCTCTGGTTTTTTAAGAAGCCTCCTCAGGAGTGTGGGGTCATCAGCTTGAGTGTGCTCAGGGAGATGTTTCACTCCTAAAAAACAACGACCGTGTTCTTAACGTTCTGTGGGTCATTGAAAATTTTTCTTTTTTCTTTCTTTTCTTGTTTTTTGGGGGTTTTTTTTAGAGCATTTTTTTTTTTTTTTTTTTTTAGAGACATCCAAAAAAACTGGATAGAAGGAGGGGTAAAAAAAATAGAAGAAATCAGGGTAAGATGAGGTTGAGGGGAGAATTTTGAACTCTGAGAACTTAGACAAAGAATAGGAGACTAGGCAAAACCGGTTTGGCTCAGTGGATAGAGCGTCGGCCTTGGGACTGAAAGGTCCCAGGTTCGATTCCAGTCAAGGGCATGTATCTCAGTTGCCGGCACATCCCCAGTGGGGAGCGTGCAAGAGGCAGCTGATCCGGTGTTTCTAACTTTCTCTCCCTCTCCCTTCCTCTCTGTAAAAAAAAATCAATAAAAAAAAATATTTAAAAAAAAAATAGGAAACTAGAGCTGTTTTGCTATGGAGACGCCTGTGCTGACACAAGAATTAGAGTCCAACAGAGGTCTTACGACGAAAGGAAGGTACCTGAGGGGCTTTCGGCGGCTGTACTGGGGCAGGCCTGAGGAGGCGGGCCTCCTTGTTCACCTTTCCTGGCCTGTTTCAGGGCCCGCTCAGCCTCCTGCTTGGCTCGCCGCTCCGCACGAAGCTCCGCTTTACTCCGACCAGCTGGCACTTTCTCTCCAGCAGTACCCAACTGACTGCCAGGGCCTGGCAGCTCCTTGGCTGGGCCTACTAACGAGAGAAGAGATGCCCAACCCCCAGGCTGGTAATATCTATGCTTTCTTACTTTATTACACAAAGTAAGAAAGCATAGATATGTTCTCCCTGTCTGTCTGAACTTCTTCCTTCCTCGTTGGCTCAAACCCAGTCTGCCCTGCCTGCCCCCCTCCCCCCCACTCCTCTGCCAGACATCCCTCTCCCAGCCCCACACCCAGCCCCGTGGAAAAAGCCCCCACACCTTGACACTGGGTTGCAGATACAGCAGAACCAGTTTCTGGTTCTGCCCCCTTTTCCTCCTTCCTTTTCTTCTTCTGCTGTTTCTTTTCCTTCCGAAGCTGCAGTTTCTCTTCTTGGGTCAGCTCCCTCCCTGCTGCCTGAGACACAGACAACACTGCTCTTGCCCATCACGTCCCAAGGGAAATCTAACACTGCGGGACGCTCACAAATACCCAGGAGGCAGTCTCCAGACCTCCCTAACTCTCGCCCCACACGGATCCAAGTCACATCCGGTTGGGGGGATAAAGACTCTAACATCTCCTGGCTGAACGGAGAAGTCAAGTGAAACACGGGTGGAAGCTGGGGCGGGATGAAGCTGATACAGCCTCCTGAGCAGCGCTGGACAGGCGGCCAGGGAGGGCTCCCTCACTTACCCCAGGCCGAGGAGAAAGCTCCGCCTTCATCCCAGACGCCGAGTCTGCATCAGAAAACAGGGCACACAGTGAGCCCGAGAGGCTCCGGGACGGTTTGAAGGGAGCGGTATGGGGCGCAGCTGGCCGGCGGGTCGGCATGTCCACGGCGCCGCCGGCACGCGGGAGGCCAGCCAAGGGCTCGCGTGGGGACGCAGTGCGAGGCAGGATCAAAGGGTAGGCGGGGGAAGGAAAAGAGGGGCACCCACGCTTCTCCCTGGCACCGGCGGTCCGCGGCTCCGGACGGCGCCGGAGGCAAGGCGGACCAGCGTCACCGGCACCGAGTGACAGCGCCCCGAGCGCCTCATGGCCCAGCGGGAGCGTCCGGAGTCCATCGGCTGGCACACGCGCGGCCGGCCCTTCACTCACCCTTGCGCACCGCCACAGCCGCGGCAGCCATCTCCCAGGATCCTAGGCTCCGCCCCACGGTCACAGGGACTCCAGCGCCTCCCGGCTGGCACCCGCGGCGCTCAGCTCCCGCCGACTACGATTCCCGGCATGCACCGGCGCGCCGCGGACTACGGGTGGCGATGAGAGTCATCTCGACCTGGGAACTTCCGGTCCCGGCAGTCTCTTCCCACCCTTTAAGACTACAATTCCCAGCATGCCCGCGCCCCGCCCTTTAGACTACAATTCCCAGCATGCCCGCGCGCCGCGCCCACGAGCGGACGTCCCACCGCCCTTCCCGCATCCGATCTCAGACCCCCGCCCCCAAAATGGCGAGTGAGGCTGCGGGGACGTGCTGAGCAGCGGAGGCGAGCGTGCAAAGCTGCCGCGGCCTCCCAGTCGGGTGCCTGGCCGGGGCCCTGCCGCAGGGAACATGCACTTTTCCATTCCTGAAACCGAGTCCCGCAGCGGGGACAGCGGCGGCTCCGCCTACGTGGTGAGGAGCGGCTGGAGCCGGCCGGGCAGGGGCGGGGATAACGGGCCGGAGCCCTTTCTCAGCGGCCTCCGAGGCCTGGCCGCCGCCTTCGGGTCTGTTCCCAGGCCGCCGACTCCCGACGTCCTTGCTGGGAGTTTGTCACATCCCAGATTCGTCCACAGGTCGCCCCAGCTCCTGTAGGTCCTTGGTTGGGCCGTGGCCGCTGTGGTGGGCGTCCCTGGCCTCCTGGGGATAGAGACTGCGACGCAAGCGCCCAGTTCCCCAGGACGGGCCCTTCTGCTTTGGGACCTGGACCTGGGGAAAGCAGACTGACAAACCTTCGGAAGGTCTCGGCGCGTTACTTAAGTGGAGTTGTGCCAGGCAACTTCCGACCGGGGTTCTTCTAGGGGGTCTCCCGGCACCGCGACCCTAAAATGCTTGCCTGCTTTTGTGTCCTCAGGCCTATAACATTCACGTGAATGGAGTCCTGCACTGTCGGGTGCGCTACAGCCAACTCCTGGGGCTGCACGAGCAGGTGGGACGAGCACCCTTGCCTTGAGGCAGCTTCAGGCCCTCCTCTGGTCATCCACGTCTCCTCTCGCATCTTTCCTGTAGGCTGTAGCTCCTCTGGAGTCACTGCTAAGGGGTGGACCTGTGACTTTTATCTTATCGTTTGACGTTTCCGGGGAACTCCCTAAGAAGCTGAATGTCTGCCCTCTGTTCCTCCCTATTCTCACTTCTCCTTCCTGCTTCTCTGCCCCCTGGCTTGCTCCAGGCTTTGCCTGTGCTTGAAAAAGTACCTCCCGCCCACCCCCCCTTTCAGCTGCCAAAGCACATTCTTTTCTGTCATCTGAGCTGCAACTTGAGATTCTTTTCCCTGCTCATACAACCCATTAACCAGTTTCCTTCTGTGTTCAGTAGCTCATCCCAGTGTAACTGTTCCAGTTATCTTTATGTATCTGTGATGCAATGTTTCTTTGCTATTCTCACCAGATTGTGAACTCTGTATTTAACAGAGTCCTGATTCTACTGATAACTAGTGGTGCAATCCTGAGCAAGTTACCTAATTTCTTTGGGCCTCAGTTTCTATAACTGAAAAATGGACTTGTTGCTCTGTGAAGCGTCTATAAGTCCCACAATACATTTTCCTTTTAAAGGAAATTTTCCTTTGCTTCCTGTGGGACCCAATGAACACAGTCTTGCTCTAGATAATCAAGGGGCTCCCTGGGTCCCATACAAACCCTCCCCACATTGCAAAGGGGCTGACTTGTACACAGATAGGAAAGAACTTACGTCTAGGACAGAGGGGCGGCTTTATTTGAGTGCTACTTCCGCCAAAGGAATTGCTTCGTGGATGACCAGGGACTGAGGGAAGGGAAAGGGAGCCCAAAACAACATTGAGTGTGTATTGCCTGTTCTTGTTTGCTATGTATTTGAAGGGTTGTATCTTTCTCTAAATAGCTTCGGAAGGAGTATGGGGCCAATGTACTTCCTGCATTTCCCCCAAAGAAGCTCTTCTCTTTGACACCTGCTGAGGTAGAACAGAGGCGAGAGCAGTTAGAGAAGTACATGCAAGCTGGTGAGTGGTTGGAGGGAACTTCAGGCTGGCTGTGTTGAGGACTATGGGAAGAGACTGTTAGCTGGCTCTGCAGAAGGTCCTAAAATCGAGATGTGGAAAGCTTCTTGTGTGATCTGTACTTCGTTAGCAAGAGTAAGTAGCATGCAAGGATGCTGTAAAACCTAGCAAAGCAACCCAGCACTACCATCTCTGAGAAATATTCATATGACACTGAATAGTCTTAAAGCAGTTTAGATCGGTGGGGAGAACTTAATTCAAATCTGATGTGCTTTCAATGGACTGTCGTTATTTCCCTAGTCTATAGACTGATCAACTAGATGGCAGTGAAGGGTGGAGCAGGTAAAGAATTTATGCAAACAGTGAGTGAGAGGAGGCCAGCTTGGAATGTGACAGGCCACCATCAGCTCAGGAAATGAGATTGGGGTGGGGGAAAGGGGTTACTTACCAACCAAGATAACTGGGAGGAGCAAAGGAAGAGTCTTAAGTTACTGGAACATCATTTTCTTGCCCCTGCAGTTCGGCAAGACCCACTGCTTGGGAGCAGTGAGACCTTCAATAGTTTCCTGCGTCGAGCACAACAGGTGAGGCTTGGGGGTGGGGTCAAGATTTAAGGGAAGGGCCAGCCTGTAGGGCCACGTCACTTTAATAAAGTGGCTACGGAGGAGTCATCCTAGCACCATTTTTTTTTTTTTTTTTTTTTATGGAATGGGGCTTCTGGTGTACCAATGAAATCAGGGAAACATGTAATTAAGCAGCTGAGAATAAAGACACCAGCGGGACCTAGACATAGGGAGTTGGGCAGGGGTTAACCAAGTGGTGGCTTCCATTCCCAGGAGACTCAGCAGGTCCCCACAGAAGAGGTCTCCTTGGAAGTGCTGCTCAGCAACGGGCAGAAAGTTCTGGTTAATGTGCTAACTTCAGATCAGACTGAAGATGTCCTGGAGGTGAGGCGCTAGCTCTGCAGTACCCCTGCACCCCAAGGCCCCTGGTTTGGGGGTTGATTGGAACCAGCCAGTATAATGAGCTGTACTTCCTCCTTTACTCCCAGGCTGTGGCTGCAAAGCTGGATCTTCCAGATGACTTGATCGGATACTTTAGTCTCTTTCTAGTTCGAGAAAAAGAGGATGGAGCCTTTTCTTGTGAGTTTCTCTGTACTTTACTGCTCCCCTGAGCTTCCAGTAGTGACTTTGCCTTCATCTCCCCCCTGGCATTTTCTCAGGGCTTCCCTCTTGATTCCCCTCCCCTTGAGTCTCATGACATTTTCCTTTTTTATTTTTAACCTGTAGTTGTACGGAAGTTGCAAGAGTTCGAGCTGCCTTATGTGTCAGTTACCAGTCTTCGGAGTCAAGAGTATAAGATTGTGCTGAGAAAGAGGTCAGGCCTGGGCTTGGAGAACGGGGAAGTGCTAGATTGAAATTTTGGGCCATGTATTGAGACAGAATACTCTGGTCGAGGGGGTAGCACTGGGTGTTTGTACCAAGCTTCCCTCCCATCGTGCCACCATTAGCCTGATAGTTCTAGATTGTTCCTGTTTTGCCCCTATTTTCCATTCTACCTCTTGCCTTACCCCAGCTCAGTCCCATTACCATTACCCCTTTCCACCCCTTGGCTTCACAGTTACTGGGACTCTGCCTATGATGATGATGTCATGGAGAACCGGGTTGGCCTGAACCTGCTTTATGCTCAGGTGAGCCTGGAGGTGCTTCAGAACCCTTCCTCTGAAAACCACGCTGGTCTTCCCTCGGCCAGGAAAACTCCTTTCATGACTTTCCTCCATGGGGGAAGTTCCTAGAATATTAGCAGGGTACCTGACCCAACATCCGATTATGGTCAAGGGCTCACTCCAAAGAGGTTCTTCAAATGTGGGGTTAGGGGTCAGGCTGGATAGAGTTAGACACTTCCTGTACCTCTGACTCAGAGCCCTGTCTTCACCGTAGACGGTATCAGACATTGAGCGTGGGTGGATCCTGGTGACCAAGGAGCAGCACCGGCAACTCAAATCACTGCAAGAGAAGGTCTCCAAGAAGGAGGTGAGCTCTGCCTGTCTCCCCTCAAGGGGTTGCTTCCTCTGAGCTGCCCTGCTTCCCCTCCTGACCAACCCCGCGCGGTGACTGGGTTTCAGTTCCTGCGGCTGGCTCAGACGCTGCGGCACTATGGCTACTTGCGCTTCGATGCCTGTGTGGCTGACTTCCCAGAGAAGGACTGTCCAGTAGTGGTGAGCGCAGGCAACAGCGAGCTCAGCCTCCAGCTCCGCCTGCCCGGCCAGCAACTCCGCGAAGGCTCCTTCCGGGTCACCCGCATGCGGTGCTGGCGGGTCACCTCCTCTGTGAGTTGGGGTGGAAGGGAGAAGCCTTTTGGGGTGGAGGTCTGACAAGCCTTCAGCTTCAGAAATGGGCTGGGCTGCGGTGAGTCAGAGAGCATGGCAGATTGGTCAGCATAAACTTGGCCTAACCCCTCTCTCCCTCCCAGGTGCCATTGCCCAGCGGAGGCACAAGCAGCCCGGGCCGGGGCCGGGGCGAGGTGCGCCTGGAACTGGCTTTTGAATACCTCATGAGCAAGGACCGGCTCCAGTGGGTCACCATCACCAGCCCCCAGGTGTGAGCACACCCTCAGGCCTCTGGACCCCATTGCACCGCCTCTATTAGATACCCAAGTCTAGGGCTTCCAGGACTGCATGTGAGTGGGAGTCCCTGTCTTAGGGGTACCGGGCTCAGGATGGCAACTCTAGGCTGAGCCCTCCTTTCACCCTCAGGCTATCATGATGAGCATCTGTTTGCAGTCCATGGTAGATGAGCTGATGGTGAAGAAATCCGGCGGCAGTATCAGAAAAGTAAGTAGCAAATGTGGAGCAGGTGGCTAAGTAGCTGTGCTCTACCTTGTCTTTTGAACCAGGTGTGAGGGAGGGGGAAGGGCTGGGGATTCCCAAGGGAGTGGTCCTGCCCTTCTCAGTGCCTTGTATCTCCATCCTCAGATGCTGCGCCGGCGGGTCGGGGGCACCCTGAGACGCTCAGACAGCCAGCAAGCAGTGAAATCCCCACCACTGCTTGTAAGTGTTAAGTATCAGTATCTGGCCCTCATCCTGGGGATATGAGAAGCCTTTTTCTGACATCTCTGCCTTTTCCCCAGGAATCACCTGATGCCAGCCGGGAGTCCATGGTCAAACTCTCAGTGAGTTTCCCATGAGGGTTGGTGAAGTGGGTGTTTGTAGGGGGATTTCAGGGAGGCTTGAGCCCTCTGACCCCACCCTGCCTTTGTTACAGAGCAAGCTGAGTGCCGTGAGCTTGCGGGGAATTGGCAGTCCCAGCACAGATGCCAGTGCCAGCGATGTCCATGGCAATTTCGCTTTCGAGGGCATTGGAGATGAGGATCTGTGATCTCCAGTGCTAGGATGTCTGCCCTCTACCCCAGAGGAATGTTCAAAAACTCGCCCTGTGCCTGTATCCCCCAAACCCAGGGGTCTTTTCCTTCTTACCTTTCCCTTTTCTCCTCTTGGCCAGGGGCCTCTAACCTTCCCTTCCCTCTGGGGCTGGCTGCACAAAGGATTTATCCCCTTTTCAGAGCTGGCCCTCGATGCCAAATTAGCATTTAGTATTTTGCACAAAGTCCACGGGACCATGGTTACCTGCCTGGGGAGGAACCATAGTTCCCCCCAGCAGCTTCTGGCTCCTCGGGGCCGTGGGCCAAGGGGATGGGCAGAGGTCTGTGTATGGTCTGGCCCACTTTCCCCTCATTAAACAGCCTGATTGCTGCCTATCTCTGGTTCCCTCTCTGCCCCTGCTTCCCCCATCCTAGCATGGACTACGGTGCTAAGAGGAAGGCTGAGCTGTGCTTGCCACTGCCAATTCAGCATAGACATGGCTTTGTTAGTGTTTCCTTTATTATAAAGTACTGAAATAAGTTAAATAAACAGGTGGGAGGCTGGGCAGTCCCCCAGCCAGTTTCTCCATAGCCCCTGGGAGCAGTGGAGGTGAATGCAGGGCCCTTCTCACTGAGCTCATGAAGTGCACCAGTCAAGGCAAGGCCCCATGGTCCATATAGTGCCTAAGTTAGTCTGTTGGAACCCCTGGCCAGCGGGGGAGGAAAGAAAAGGTGGCTTCTGGTCCATTACAGGAGGGTCAGGGCTAATCCTATAGCCCTGGAGAAGGCCCTAGTTCAGGGTGAGTCTGTATGGAGAGCCCGGCTACCAGCGGTGCTCAAGGGCGTTGGACCCCGAGAGCTCAAGACAGAGGTGGGGCTGTGAGGTGGGGCCCAGCCCTCGGAGGCAGAGAGGCCAGGTCCTCCTGTGCCACCATGCCCGTGCACCTTCTGGTGGCGTTTGTAGTTGTCCCAGTGGCCCGTGGTATAGGCGCAGGTGGCACAGCGGAAGGGTTTCTCGCCTGTATGCCGCAGCATGTGGCGTTTGAGGTTCATGCTCTGGTTGCAGCTGTAGTTGCAAAGACTACATCGAAAAGGTTTGTCCCCAGAGTGGATGCGACCGTGACGCTTGAGGTTGGCCAGGTTGCCACAGGCATAGGGGCAGAGGGGGCACTTGTACGGCTTCTCTCCCGTGTGGACACGCTGGTGTCGCTTCAGGTTATCCAGGTGAGCGGAGGCATAGGGACAGCGGGCACAGCGGAAGGGCTTTTCGCCACTGTGTGTCTTCATGTGCCGGGCCAGATGGTTGGGATAGTGAGTGGCAAAGGGGCAGAGGCTACAGGCAAAGCCCTTGTCACTAGGGCCCTGAGGTCCCCCACTGGCACCTCCAGCCTCTCCTCGCATGCAACGCCCACACATGGCGGCTCCCAGCCGACTACCCTCGCCCTCCTCCAGCTCTTGTCCACAGTTTCGGCAGGTCCAAGGGAACAGCAGCTCTGGCAGTGGTTCTGATCCAGTCCCACAAAGGCCCTCCCCTTCACCCCGCAGCTGTCCACAGTCCGGCAGGAAACTGGCACCTCCTGGCGGCACGTGGATGCTCAAATCTGGAAGCAGCAGAGCATCTGGGGGAACAATGAGACCTGGTGAATCCAAGTACCCGTAGGGCCACCCCCCTGCATCCCAGGCTCTTTGGTGCCCAGCATCTTACCTTCAGGTCCCCGGGGCACTGTCCCCTCCTGCTCTGTGGGACTGGGAGGCCGGGTCGGACGAGGAGCACAGCAGCGGAAGCCACAGGTCGGGCAGGGAGGAGCGGGGGGCCCTGCATGGGTGCGTTGGTGCCGCCTCAAGTTGCCCAGGCTGCTGCAGGCAAAGGGGCAGTGGGGACAGCGGTAGGGCTTCTCGCCAGTGTGGGTGCGAGTGTGTCGTGTCAGGTTGACGAGCTGGGCTGAGGCGTAGGGGCAGCGGCCACAGCGGAACGGCTTCTCCCCACTGTGTGTCTGCATGTGCCGCTTCAGATGGCTCGAGTAGTGGGACACGAAGGCGCAGAGGCGACATGAGTATAGTAGCCGTGGGGGCATCGGGGCCTCCCCACCCGGCCCTCCTGCCCCACAACACGGCCCCTCACCTGTCGGCCCCCCACACAGCTGGCAGGCTGAGCCTGGCCTCTCACCCCTGGCCTCCCCTGGACCCCTGGCTGGCTCCTCAACTTCACTCTCAGCACTTAGCGCCCGACCACCCCCAGACTCGTCGTCACTCAGCCCGTAGGGAGGCCCAGGCCTGGAGTCTCCTGGTGAGACAGACATGAGAAGAGACATCAACATTAGGTAGGACTAGACTCCAAACACCCTTTCTCACTCATGGTCTTCCTATGTGCTTGGCCCCACCTTTCTCTATCCCGAAAATTAAATATGAATTGTCTATTGCTGTGTCTGGATTAGCCTAGTGCCTAGTTCCACTTAATGAGAAAAGATCAAGGACCACAATGGACCACAGACTGCAATGAATCAATAATATAATTATCTGGTTCTTAGGATACAAACAAGGAAGAGGCCAGAAACTTTTCTAAGCTCTATATGTTAGTAAAGTCTCTCTTTAACATGGACCTAATTATAAAAAGAGGGCGGGACAGGAGTGAAGTAATGCATGTAATACCACCTTTAAGCCTAAAGGATGGTTCAGGTGAGTTCCCTCAATGACTCAGAAACACCCTTCATAGGGGCCTTCATAGGGGCAGGACTGAGAGGGCAGCACAGCACACTGGGACGGGGTGGTGCAGAGATAACAGGGAGAGGAAATGTGGAATGATCCTTTAGATAGACTAAAACCTCCATACAAAAGGAGCTTAAGCTATCGGTGAAAGGGAGATTAAACACGAAGTACTAGTTTGAAGTTCCTTCCCTGAACCTCTCAGAAGTAAACTCAAGTAAGGAATGGGCTGCTGAGTGGGACAAGGTTATAAAAAAGACATTTACTTTTAACCAGTGACTCCTCCACTGTCCTATTCATACCACCTTTGGACCAGGCCCCAGAACTTCACCTCAACAAAGTGATGGAGCTGATTGGACAATTAGGCAAGTGAAGAAATCTAGCTCCAATCTAACCTAAACAGCCCTGGCCGTGGCAGGAAACGGTGTTTTGCTCACTGGCACTAAACCTAACCGGTCTCCTGAAGTTCTGGGGTTCCAGGGAAGTCCCCAAAACTCACCTTCTGAGTCTCTCTCGAAGCCCATGAGCTGGTCGCTGTTGCCGTCACCTTCCTCCTCTTCCTCTTCCTCCTCAAACTCCAGATCCTGGCCTAGCAGCAAATCACTCTCCAACACTAGGGCCCCCGGTCCTTCATCGAGGGAGTCTTCGGTGTCCACTGAAGAGGGGAGAGGCTGCTAGCTTCTCTCTCAGGACCGGTGCCCACCATCCGCGCCCGGGGGCCTGACCTCGCGGACCGCACTGCCCAGACTTGCAGACCCTCCCTGGTTCCCTCGGTACCTCGGTGGGAAGCCAGGAGCCCACATCGCCCACACCATCCCTCAGGAGTCCCCCTCCACCGCGACCCGAACCCACTCTACTGACCCCACCCCCACTCCTCCCCTCACCGCGACCCCTGACCTTTGACCCCCTCGCATTTCACGGGCTGCGGGTGGCTTTGCTTCCTTCGGGGCATCGTGACCGGCTCCAGCCCGACGCGCCTCTGGCCTGCGGCCGCCGGCCCCGCCCCTCCCGGCCCGGCGCTCGGCCCGCCCTTCCTCAGGGCCCGCGAGCCGCCCCCATGCGGAGGCGCGGGCCCGGGGCAGCCCCCGGCCCTGGCCCCAGCGCCCAGCTCAGGCCGCTCCCGCCGCCGCCGCCGCGTCCATTCATGGAGCCCCCTACCCCCCCTGCGGAGACCAGCTGGTACCTCCGTACTCGCTTCCGCTTCCGCTACCGCAGAGACGCACGGGATGCGTAGTCCCGTCCGTGGGAAGCAGAGACGGCAGGGCTTTCGCAGCGTGACCAGGAAGTGATTGTGACGAAAGGAAGGGAGGAAGCCAATCAGAGATCTGCTAGAAAACGACTGGCAAGGGCTGAAGCCCTGGCCGGGTTTCCTCCAATGGGCTGCCTGCAGTCATGATCCCTCCCTGGAGGAGGAGATTATTCCTGACTCCACAAGGGGGTGAGGATGAGTAGCGATGCAAGCAAAGCCTGCCAGTAACTCATGGAACTAAAATACCTGGGCCCCCCTCTACTGGACATGCAGGCTCACGTGGGACACACACACACACCCCACCCCACCCCCAAAATGGCTAGGCAGATGCTACTACTGATAGTCAAGTCTGAAGCGCCCAGGCAACCTGAGTGACCAGGACAGGATGGGAAAGCAGCAAAGAAAAAAAGGACACTATCGGTTCGATTAGGTTTTGGCCTTTAGTCTGAAAAAGTGTTTGCTTGAAAGTGTACAACAGAGAGTGGGTGCACGGCCGGGGCCATAGAGCCGCCAATAAAAAAGAATGTCCTTAAATAAAGTTCACAGAGTAAAAACCAGAACCTCCAGTCCTTCCCTCCAACACAACAGAGCACAGGCACAGAACCAGTGATGAGCCCCAAGGAGCAGGAGGAGGCTGGGGAGAGCAGCAGCGGCTCCTGGGCTGCTGTGTGGAGGGAGAGCCCTCTTTGGAATGGGCTGAGTAAAGCCACCCAGTTCCCCCTGCACACCTCACAACCACTGCTAAGGCTAAAGGAAAAAGACAAAACTCAGTCTCAGGTCCGGAGGGCTCAGAAAAGTCTCAGGGGCAGGAGTCTGGACAACCAAGTCCACTAGTCCCGCTTGGCCTTCTTCTTATTGTCACTGTTGCCATTCTCTTCCGCCTCCTCAGTAGAAAGCGCCTCCTCCAGTTTCCGCTTGCCGCTCTCCGGCTGAACCTCTGCTGTGCTTCGGGGCTTGAAGCAGATGATGATGCAGGTCATGTTGTCACACCCTGTTCCATCCCCAGAAGTGTCCGGTGCCAGGCACTGGTCCAGCAGCTACAAAACGGAAGGGTAACAGTTTTAAGGTTTGAACACCTTTCCAGGAACCTAAAGTCACACTACAGGGGTGGCCATGCCAGACAAGGTGGCAGAAGGAGAGAAATGGATCACAGGTATTACAAAACAGCCCATTTGCTAGTCCATGAGGCATAAGTTAAGTCAGGGAAATGAGGAAAGTGAAACTTTCTAAGTCAGGGCTTGGCATCTGTCACTAATGAATGATACTCCTATGCTCTGGTCTTAGAGAAAACCTTGGCTATGCAGCCCAGACATTCTCTTCCAACCTGGGACTCACCTCTTCCACGATGGATGACAATAACCGAAGCTCCCCATTTTCATCACGCTGGCTAATCTTTGACTGAATAAAGTCTATAACTTCCTGGCTGCTCATCACATTCCTGGGATCAGAAACAATAGTCAGAATCTTCTTTAGTCCCACCCAAAGCAGAGTGGAGGCGTATGGTTAGAGGTGACAGCTTGGCCAATGTAAACACAGAGACTGTCCTCAAGCTCTGCCTAAGACCTGGGGGTCTTGATACCAAGCCATCTGCCTAAACTCTAATCCTAGAGCAGCTTGAGAAAATATGCTGAATGTAGCCATTCAATTGATGATATAAAGCCAAAGCAGGCTGTAGCCTGTCTGCTCTGTCAATAGAGCATCAAATCGAAGGGTCCCAGGTTCGAATCCAGTCAAGGGCACATGCCTGGGTTGTGGTCTCAATCCCCAGTAGGAGGGCATGCAAGAGGCAGCCAATCAATGATCCTCTCTCATCACTGATGTTTCTATCTCTCCCTTTCTCTCTGAAATCAATAAAAATATATTTAGTAAATAAAATCAATAGAAATATATATATTTTAAAATAATATAAAAATAAAGCCAAAGCAGCTCAGAGCACTACACGAGAATATTACAGAAAAAGGAATTTTAAGGCATTTTGCCAGGCTCACCAGATGCCATCACAGGCAATGACCATGAATTCATGGTCATCTGTGAGAGTCAACATCTTGATGTCAGGAAGGGCTGATATCATCTGTTCCTCAGGTGGCAAGTTCTTGTTTCTCTTATAGAAGTGATCTCCTGAAGTAAAGGAATAGTTGGTTAACAAATAGTTTGGGTACTTCACATAGTCATGTGTTTGAAGCCTTGCCATTCATTTTCTTCTTTTCCATAATCTAATGGATAGGAGAACTGAGTTCTAGTCTTTCTAGTTTCAATCCTGACTTTAGGTTGAATCATAAGTAATTCACTAACCTGTTTTTTTCATCATCCAGAAATGATACCCATATTACCTATCTCATAGAGACATTTAAAGTAACAGGTGGTAGATACAAAAGTATTGGAAAGGTATAAGGGCTATGAAAATTAAAATTTGCTACTACCTAGTATAAAGCAGAGAAAAAGACCCCAGTCTTTCCATATATAGTCCCCTAGTTCTTACCAATGGCCCTGGAGAGGTTGAGGCCCCCGTTGACTCGACCATCCATGGTAACCTTGCCACCAGCATTCTTGATGCGTGCTAGCTCCACTTCATCCTCCGGCTTGTGGTCATAGGACATGTCTAAAGCTTTGCCAGCCTCAGACACCACACAGCGAGAGTCTCCTGCATTGGCTACAATCAACTGCTTCCCTCGTATCAGAGCCACTACAGCTGTTGTACCACTGTCAGAGCCAGGCTTAAGAAGGAGAAAGAAAGCATCATGGAAGCTTCTGAACACGAGCTTCTCATCAGTGCTCCCCTGACCATTCACCTATGCTTCCTCATCTCACTAGGTCCACTAAGAGAGCTTTAACAAAAAGGAGGGTCACAAATTTTATTATTTCCAGAAACTATGGTATGCTCCCTGTTTCCTAAGACAATTCTACCCAAAACACCTCATTCCCTTTGCAGAAAAAAATCCCCCCATGACCATGACTTCAAAACCAAAATAGCAAGGGGATCCCCTCTCCCAAAATCAAAATCAGGGGCTTCACAACTGCCTCTTGATTCTCCTAAACCCCCTGGTCCCCCTCCCCACAGACCTCCTCTTTGCCTTCCATCCCAGGGACCATCATCTCCTCCTCTTCTTCCTCATCCTCTTCAGCCTCCTCGGTGTCATCCTCATCTTCTTCATTCTCTGCCTCTTCACTGCTGTAGCCATCCTCTTCCTCACTGCATTCCTGCCAGAGGGATGATCCCAGGCAACTGAGACCGGAATGACCTCCTATCCCACTCCCCCAACTCCTATTTAAAACAAAGAGGCCCTGCTGAACACAGGTCCTCAAAACCCTAAAAGATGCAACTATATGATCTCGGTGAGAAATATGGGGGAAGGGAGAGGGCTAGCATTGGAATAAATGATATCCTGAACTGGACTCACCAGTCTTTAGCAGGAAGCCCTGGAAAAGGCCAAGGCAATCAGCCAAAAGCACTTTGTAGGCAACATGACCAGAAAGTAAGTTGTCCAGAAAAGGAAATACCCAAATATCCAAAGTAACAACCATCATCTTCCTATTCTCTCTCTAGGAGACAGACTCTTTCAAGGCCACACTAAATCTATTAGTTAGTGAATCATCAAAGGAAAGAGATAAGAGGGTTAATGGTACCTGTGTTGGTGGAGATAATGAATTCAAGAAAAGCTTAGCATATAGTGGGTCTTTGGGGGTGTCAAAATAGAAAAGAGTCAAACAGCTATAAATGGCAACCAAACAGGCCCCTCTGCAATTTCACCATCTATCAGCCCCTACAGGCCCTTACCTCGCTGTCTTCCTCTTCCTCCTCCGCCTCATCTGACTCATCCTCACTGTCCTCAAAGAACTTGGACTTAGCAACTCGAGGCAGCTTGTCGGAGGCTGAAGAGCAGGAAGGCCCAGCCTCACCAGTGGGAATGCCAGGCTCACCACCTTGGCCTGCCTCTGTACGTTCCGAGTTGGAGGAAAGGCCTGTGTGGACCTTGGCTGTGGGACCATTTTCCTCTGAAGAAGATTCCCTAGATGGGTCCTCAGATCCTGCCTCCCCATTGAGGCCCTGGGACCCTGGTTCCTCGCCTGTCCCAGCTCCAGATTTGCTGTGGGGAGCACCCTTGTGACAGTTCTGCCCGTAGCGTGTCAGCAGCTCTTCAATAGTCATGGTAGCCTCTTCATGCAGCAGTGCAGCCTCCTCATTGTCCACTGCAGGTAAGAGGCTAAATCAGCGCCCCCATGCCAGATTCCTCTTACTACATCCACTGCCCTTGCAGCCTGAGTTCCAACTTCCCCACCACTCCCTACTCTTAAGGGTCCTCTCACTTATCAAGTCTCAGAAAAACACCCTTTTGCTTCCTTCTCAAGTAACATCTGCCTCCATAGCCTTCCTTTGGTCTTTGTCTTTCACCCCCTTCTTAGTCAAAGGATCACTAGTTATATTTTTCTTATCACCTCATTTTTTATTAGTAAGTTGGAAGCCCTATTCTGGCTGAGGACCCGGGAAGCCCACAGTGCCAGTCTAGGCCTATGGCCAAGGCTTAATGATTGGCTGCTGGGGCTAATGACAGCTCCATTCTTGAAAAAAGGTCACATAAATATTAGCAGAAACCAGAAAGACCCCATTCACAATGACAAAAAATAATGCACATAAAAATGCTTATAATTAAGACACTAGGCACTCAACAAAGGTTAATTCTATTTCTCCTTTTCATAATCACATGCAATGCAGGAGAACATAGGGTTCTTTAATTTGAGGACTCTCTAAGTACCTAGGAAGTCATCCTCTCTCAGAATTGATACAGAAATAACATATACTAAATAATAGTATTTTAAAATGTTGGTTTCCTCTCAAACATGAGATGCCACACTTACCATCATCTTCATCAGCTACTTTTTCTTTTTCATCTTCATCCTCAGTGGGTCGCCCTGCAATCTGTGCCAGCTCCTTAATGACTTCCTCAGTGGTCAGTTTGGCATCAATAGCCAAGAAGGCATCTTCCAAAGCCTACATATAAGCAAAACAGTATGAGGCAAGTGTAGGAAAAAGTACAGTAGGTATAAAATAAATTGTCTAGATTGAATCCTAGTCACAAGGATGGGATGCAAATATAAATGTGATCCACCACACTAGGAGACACTCATATATAAGTGAAAAATTGTTCAGAGACCTGGGAATGATAAGGCAGCTCTAAAAAGGCTCAAATGGGAATAAGCTTATTTTATTTTATTTTTAAATATGGAACACTTTACAAATTTACGTGTCATCCTTTTGCAGGGGCCATCCTATACTTCTCTGTATCATTCCAATTTTAGTATATGTACTGCCAGAGCGAGCACGGAATAAGCTCGTTTCAGGCAATGAATTCTTTAAGAAGATGTTAGGTGGCAATGAGAAAGGAAAAGCCTTTCTCATTGCCAGAATCAGAAAACGGGGAAAAGCCTGTAGAAGGGGAGAATAAACATTGTGGGAAGACAGACCTTCTGTAGCTTGCCTTCTTTGTAAGCCTTCTGATCTTTGATGATATCAGGAAGATATTTGGCACAATACAAGGCAACTTCCTCCCCTGGAAGAAAGGTAAGGTCACCCAGCGCACTGCTTCCCACACATAGAAAGTAATATAGTATCTATATATTATACTGGAATAAATTCCAATCGTTGAGGAGATGAATTATCTTAGCACAACTCAAACCTATTTGAAAGATGTTTGAGAAGTTTTGACTCAGAAAATGGACTTCACAATCACCTCTCTTAGGAATATATTAATATATCCCTTGTTGTTTTTTCACTTGCATACTTAGTTTTCAGTGAAGGGGGGAGAAAAACTAATGTAAGAAGATTCTTTTCTGGATTAAAACAAGGCTTGGTGAGATTATGAATCAATACAATATCCTATTAGGATGGAAGAATGGCAGAAAAGAAAAACAGCATGAGGCAGGAATTGATACAGGAGAACCAGAACTTTAGAAAGTGAAAGAACAAAAGACCTGTTCTTGCTCTATAAAGTCTAGAGTTAAAAGTGTTAGAATGTTATCAATATAAACTGTTAAAGTTACCTCCGTGTCCATCATAGACAGAAAACATAGCAGTCTCACTGTCCAGCTCAGGAATACAATTGTGAGCATCCTAGGAAAAACAAGAGAATAATTAGCATTTCTCAAGGCCAAAGGATATTCTTTCTCAAGTCATGAAAATCATGTTCACACATTAATCTTACTAACTCTTCCCTAACTGACTTACAGGACCTAGAAATAAGAACGGAAGACGAAATGAAAAATGAAAGGAAGAAGAGAGATGAATCAGGTCACTACCTCTGCAGTCCAGCAGCCTCAAGCCTAAGAGGTAACAGTCGTCCAGATGGTAGAATGCTTAGCTATTGGAACTCTAGACCTAACCTTTTTGGATTTGTGGCAATTATGGGAAGAACCAGAATAAAGAATCTTTTAAGTCACTTCCAGATCCATTCCATGAACCAGTGAACTTCAAGGAAGAAAATGCTAGGAAAAATAGTACAATGAGGTCAGAAAGCATTACCAACCTAGAAAGTTTCTAAAAGAATCCTACGACAGCCTGATTGAAAGCACTAGAAAGTTGCAGAACTATATACATTTACACTCTGCCCTACCCGCCAAAACACTATGTAAACACCTTCTTCCTTCAAAGTTTAACTCATTCAAGAAGTTATCCTCAGGCTAGGCAGAGGATATATTTACAAAAGAATATCTTCCTGCCCTCCAGTGCAGATATGGTTGAGCTCATGCATGAACCAAACCAGGTCACTGTTCGATTCCCAATCATGGCCCATGCCTGGGTTGCAGGCTCAGTCCCCAATGGGCAGCCAATCAATGATCCTGATCATTGATGTTTCTATATCTCTCTCCCTAGAATCAATTTTAAAAGAACATATTGGGGGAAAAAAAAAAAAAAAGGATATCTTCCTAACAAATAATGATATTAAACCATGCTGTGTTTAGTACGTGTTACCTGGAACTTACAATGCCCCATATAATCAGCCTTCCCATCTTCTGCCCTCAGCCAAAATTGATATATTATTCAACTCTGACTGCATAGCACACTTGAAAAGTTTATAATAGTCCTGCCATACCAATGGTTCAGTTGGAAAGCTGGGCTTAATCAACTTCTTCTAATAACAAAACTCTGCCACCCAAACTAATATTCCATGTTAAGCCATAGTTCAACCAAGACTGTCTGACCTAGGTAAAAGTATACCACAGTTTACTCTGCCCCATCTTGAAAAACAACCCAACCTTTGTTTCAGGTGCTTTCTACAAACAAGGTTTTAATACACAATTTTATATTTTGATTGATTATCCTTCTGTAAGTTAATAGTTCTCATTCCTCTTTCAGCCATCAACAACTTAAAATTATCAATTGTACTAATTAAAAATTTCTCATTTATTTCATTTAGAAAATCTGAATGCAGTAGTTCTTAAGTTACCCTTGAAATAAGACTATGCCTTCATTATACAAGTCTAGAAAATAAAGGTATTTTAGAATAGGGAAGGAAAGCATTGAAAAATACCTAGTTCCTTATATCTGTCTCCAGCAGCTAATGAGCTGCTATGGATGGTCCTTGATGGCCTATCTATGGTCACCACCAAATGCTCCTTAGCCTCATCCCTAGGATCTAGAGAGCGCCATAGACCAAAGGTCACCTTCTCCCTCTTCCAAACACTCTACCAAAAGCCATAATGGTCTCTCCCTTCCCTCTGTGCCTTCCTCTCTTCTCACTAACATTTTCAGTACCTCATTGCCTGTTTTTTAGTAAGGAAGAAACACAATAAGTAAACCATATAGAATGATGTATGACTCATATGGAAAGATGGTAGTGATATGGCTCAGTGGTTGAGCATTGACCTATGAACCAGGTCACAGTTCAATTCCTGGTCAGGGCACATGCCCAGATTGTGGGCTTCATCCCCAGTAGGGGACATGCAGGAGGCAGCCAATCAATGATTGTCTCTTTATCACTGATGTTTCTATCTCTGAAGTCAATAAAAATATATATATTTTTTAAAAAGAATAAGTATAATAAAGTAAGGAGTAGTTTGCATTACAGAAAAACAGCAGGAGAACTGAATCAGCACGGGACATGGTATAGAATAGGCATTAGACAGTATAGCTCAGCAGTCACTACCTAAGTCACACTGAGTCGAATTAGCTTCAGCAAAATTGATTGTGCCATATTAACATTGATTTAATTATGCAGATTTTGTAGTGTGATTTGTTGCCATGGAATTCATTCCCAGTTCTATATCTGTACACGTTTAACTAACATTAAGTTGAAATCATTTCAGTCAATACTGGCGTTCTACAAGTATTGCTTTCCTTAAAATAAACAAACAAACAAACAATCAAAAAATCCATGAAGGGTCTCCAAGATATTTTGTTAAATAAAGAAAACTGCAAAGCAATATATTTAGTAAGCTGCTTTCTGTCTAAGAGGAATCATAGGATAATCCATGGACGAAGACAGTGGGATGATGAGATGAAGGTGGGCCAGAGGAGGTCGATGGTGGGAGGGAAAGGGGACATGTCATACTTTTTTTTTTTAAATATATTTTATTGATTTCTTACAGAGAGGAAGGGAGAGAGATAGAGAGCTAAAAACGTCGATGAGAGAGAAACATCGACCAGCTGCCTCTTGCACACCCTCTACCGGGGATGTGCCCACAACCTGACCAGAATCGAACCTGGGACCCTTCAGTCCGCAGACTGACGCTCTACCACTGAGCCAAACCGGTTTCGGCGGACATGTCATACTTTTAACAATAAAGATTTAAAAAAAAAAAAAAAGAAGAAGAGGAGGAGGAGGAAGAGGCATAAAAATATGTCTTTCCATAGTGTAATACTGTAAGATACATAGAAAACTAATAAAAGCAGTTAATTAAAAGAGGGTGTGAAGGTACAGAGAGATGAAAGTGAGAATGAATCACAGAAATATTAAGCTTTTTCAAAAGTAATTTTTTTTTAATGCATTACTAAAATTTGAGGAACTAGACCAATTAATTTCAATTTTTCGGTAGGGGAAGGAGGAGCATTCTTCCTGTCCCCTCTTTCCCAGTGGGAACAAAAGAATCAACTGGTCTTTGTCTAGTAATGCCACTCCAGATCACAGCTGTACCATGTCTTTTAAACCCACACCACCTCTATTTACCATCTATTTTACTTCTTCATCTGTTCCTCACAAGAACATGTGATCATAAAGTAAATCTAGCCTCTGTGAACCTATGAAAAAATATTTTACCTCAAAAGCAATAAAAGACATGAACATTAAAATCAAGAAAATATCTTTTTGCGGCTCTAGCTGGTTTGGCTCAGTGGATAGAGCATCGGCCTGCAGACTGAAGGGTCCTGGGTTTGATTCAGACCAAGGGCACATGCCTAAGTTTTGGGCTCAATCCCCACTGGGAGCATGCAGAAATGATGAATATGAGTTAATATGGAAATAAGTTCACAATATAGTAAGTAATAAAAACAGGGGAAAGTATCTGTATGTATATGCTAAAAGTCTGATAGATGATATATCAAACTTAGGAAGAGCATGCTTTGGATAATAATTATTTTCTACATTCTCAATTTTTGTACAATAAGCCATATTGTTCCATTCGTAATAAAATGACCCCCCCAAAAAACACACACAAAAAAAAAACAACCACAAACCCTATGAATTGGCCTTAAGTAGCCATGCTACCATATATACTACATGATCTCTGGCCAACTATCTCTTACCTTACTTTCATCGTTTATAAAATGAAATAATATCTATCTTGCCCATATCATCACAAGACTATAAACTGGAATTATTTAGCACCTGGCTCACATTTTTCTTCTTTTTATTCTCAAAAAGGAATGCACACCATAAAGTTTCATCTTATGGCTTGAGATCTCAGTTCCTTGAACTACTCCACATTACCTTCTCCTCCACTTCCCGGGAGGCTTGAATCTATATTATCATTTAGAACTGTTACACCTTTTCTAAGCACTTCAATTTTCACCTTTACACCTTTGATCACAGCCCCTCTCTCTTTACTCTTGCCTTTATTTCTCTCTGTCCCTTTCTGAGCCAGAGCTAAGTATTTCAACACTGTCTCTTAGCAAGCTAGAAACCCTCATCCAACCTTGTATAACCTGACCAACTGCTTTCTTTACCCTTGAATCAGAGGCACTAGGTATTGTAGTCATAAGATGTCATGAAATTATGTTGATTGTGATCATTACTTTCATTTATCTTTTTTTTCTATATTCTCCATTGACTCTTAAATATATTAATCACATCTTCCCTATTCTATCTCAAAACTTCTCCAGCTATATCTAATCTCTCCTTAGCCTCTAAAACAGTATTTATCATCTTTCTGTATCAACATTCATCTTAAACTTCTAATCTTCAAACTTGTCTCCTCCAACATTTTACTTCACAGAGCAGACAATAACCTTAATAGCAATCCAAAGAGTTGTTTTGCAGTTTTCATTCATGCCAGCCATTGTTTGTAAGTAGTACAAACCACATCAGCTTTCTTGAAAGTGCTCTTGGGTTCTATAAAGAACTGTAGTTCTATACTTCCAAATTCCTGTTAATATTAGATGTCCCTTCTCCACCACAAACTTAACACATGTAAACCGGAATTATGTAAGTCTCCAAAAACTCTAGAGCTTCCCCTACACATAAATGAAATCTGAACTCTCCCAGACAACACCTAATACAAGTCTTCCTTGACTTCCTGGTTGTCTTCCACTTTCCATCACTGAGTCCTGCTGAGTTTTCCTTAGTAACTCTGTTCCTAAATTACTTCTCTCTTCTTTATTTATTGTCCAAAGTTTTACATGTCTCCTTCCCTCCCTCCATTGACCCCCCTCCAGCCATTCCCACCCCAGGCAAGCCCCCACCGCCCCAGTGTCTGGATCCATGTTATGCTAATATGCATGCATACTACAAGTCCTTTGGTTGCTCTCTAAGCCTTCTCTCTCCCCTGCCATTTGTCTCTGGATCTATTCCTTTTTTTTTTTTTTTTTTTTTTTTTTTAGTAACTTCAATCCATTTTTTATATACTTTTATTGATTTCAGAGAGGAAGGGAGAGAAGATAGAAAAATCAATTATGAGAAT